TTTTTCGCCAAAATATTCTGGCCAAAACTTGGGAGAAAAAAAACTCAGGATTGTCTATGGAAAGCAGATACTTCTCATGAAAATATTCATTTAGTCAAATCCCCAGGTTTCTACTGAAAGTCAGCTTCAGTGGAAAATGCTGACGAGCCCTATTATTGGCACAGCTTTAATTTTCCTTTGTCTGGAACAGACACGGAGAAGACAGCATCTGTCAAACGTAGTCTTCAGACTTACGTTGTTATTTAGCCTGGAGTATTGTTCAAGGACTTCAGGAAAGGTTTGAGCCATCACAGCGCTGGGTGCTGTGCGCATCCACAAAAGATAGCCCCTTCCCTAGAGGGATTATAATTTAAGCACAACCCATGGAGAAGATAAAACAGCTGGGGAGAGCACAAGGTAATTTTGGAGGGGTCTTGAGCAGCGTGATGAGCAAAGGGATGCTGCGCTTCCCCTTGCACCTGCTCTTCCCTCCAAGGCTTTGTGCTCAGCCAGAGCGCAGCTGTGCGGGCTCACAGCTCCCTCAGGAGAGGCAGACTCTGCCCCAGCTCCAGAGGCAGCTGCGGAGGAGGGCAGAGATGGGTCCTGCTCTCCTCACCCAGCCTCCGGTTCAAAACATCCCTGGGGTAAAGGAGAAAGCCAAGCAAGTCATCCCTACAGCCCCCAGACACCACAATCCTGCTTGCCCCTTACCCTGGGCAGGAAGATGCTCTGCCACCCTCCCTCTTGCAGCCCAGGTGTGCTGATCGATCGAGGCACAGAACCACAGAACAGTTGGAGTTGGAAGGGACCTTAAAGCTCTTGTTCCAACCCCCCTGCCACGGGCAGGGACAACTTCCACTAGGCCAGGCTGCTCCAGCTCTGTCCAACCTGGCCTTGAACACTTCCAGGGATGGAGCAGCCTACAGCTTCTCTAGGCAAACCTATGCCAGGGCCTCACCACCCTCACAGGGAAGAATTTCTTACCAGTATCCAGTCTAAACCCACTCTCTTTCAAATTACAGCCATTCCCTCTTGTCCTACCGCTACATGCCCTTGTAAAATGTCCCTCTATTCTGCCTATTTTAACTAGTCCACCTATTCCACCTTACACTTTTTTGTTTGCCCACATCCTGCCTTCTGCCCTCACCCTCCCTGTGCTCTGCATCTCTTCATGTCTCGATCAAACCAACACGATCGCTTTAACCACAAGAGAGCAGTGAGAGAAGGATTTGTGCTGGTTTCAAATAGCTTCCAGAACTGGTCACCCCCTTCTGTAAGAGATTAAAAAGGAATCACTGAGAAAGGAGTGAGGCAGAAAGAGAGCACGAGAAAATAAATAAATAAAGGTATATAGTTACTTTTGGTTAGTCTCAGTGTGCAGCCCTGTCCCAGGGCGCCTTGTTCTGTGCTCATTTGAAGTATTAGTCACTTTTTCCATTAGAAGCTGTTATTCTAGGGGGATTTATAATGTATCTGTAAAATTGTCTCCAGGCTTTGCTTGGCATCTGAGCTCTCAATCCACGGACAGAATGTAAAGAAACTACAGTTGTTTGATTTATTGGGACAGGGCACGGGGAGGGAGGGAATTTTTCCATGCTCAGTGGAAATAAATTCACATAGTGCCTCCGGTGCACAATCACTTACTGCTCCAGAAAATACACCGTTTGGGTGCAATCTCACGCTGCCAGAGAGAAAAGAAGCAAATCAATGATTATTTAATACCTCCCTGCCTGAGACCCAGCTCTGGTTTGTGGTTTCTCACCACGACCCACCCAGTCCACAGTCCTGCTGGGTGCGACAGTCTCTCATATCACACAGGTTCGGAAATCCTGTCCTTGGCAAACCTTTTTCAACCCTAATTTCTACAAGGGATATTTCTTAACTCGCTACAAAGCCTCCCTGACAGAGTCAGGATTTTTCCTGGGGAGGCCTAGAGCTCCTTTAAGCTTTGCTCTTGATACACATCTGCCCAAAGCCTGGGAGGAATGAAAAAGGGCTGGTGATCTGCTGTAGGTAACACCAGAACCTGGATGGCAGAGGTGTTCAAGCAAAGTGAGAATGGGGAGGTGACAACCCCCTTGGGATTCACAGACTGGGAAAACACCCCATCACCTTGCTGACTCCATGTCACCCACAGCTAAGGATAAGCCAGGTTGCAGGGTGGCCCTCACCTGGGTCAACTTTCACCCAAACTTCTCCTCGAGGTAGGGGTGGATTGGGGAAAAAGGGAAGGATTAGGGACAGCAATGCACACCAGGACCAGAGGGAAGGAGAGCCAGAACCTTCTTGCAGCATCCCTGCAGGACCGATTGCCAAAGCACGAGCCGAACGTGGGCGCCTGAAGGAAACAATAATCTAAAACTGGAACACGGCAAATCATTCATTCAAACTGCAGCCTTCCCTCCCCCCTTGATTAGCAAACCGCTGGGGAGTCAGCCCTGATTTTCCTCAGACAGATGCGAACGCTCTCCTCGTCTCTGCGCCACGAAGCTCGGCCCGTGGGGGGCTGAGGATCTCGTTGGTATTCGCATTGTGTAGCAGCTCCTTGAATTCACACGTTGTTCTGCTCTCCGGCTGGATCACAAACTTTTTCTTTGGGAACACACACTGCAATGATGAATATGTTTGTTTTCTGCCCTTTTTTTTTTTTTCCCCAGGAAAACATTTAGACTGCAGTGTGCAAACACTTCCCCACACACTCGCTCAACTGCTTGCACCTAATAATAAAGCCATTTCTATGAAGAATTGCAACTCAAATCTCTAATTTGAGCTTTTGGAGGGTTTTTTCCAGGCTTCCATTAAACAATTATAAAAAGTCCCAGTGAAGCTCTGAGGAACTGACAGGAGAACATGCAATGGAACTCAGGGGTGGGCTGCAGAACTGAAATGGGAGATCCCAGCACAAAAATCCTCTCCCCATTTAAGTCAGAGGCAAAACATCCACAGAAGAGACAGGATTTCAGCTCTGGAACTTCAGTAGTGGGAGACATGGAGCTTGGCAACCAACAGGGAAGACTGTGAAGGGTTCAAAGTATCAAATGAAGCCGAGCAGAGACACGAGAGGAACAAAGGAAGTTCACGTCATGATAATTTATTGATGATCTTGGCCTGATCGCTTCAGTGTTTTGTCTCAGCAGAGCCCACCCTGAGCAGCAGCGAGTCCTGCACGTCACTCGGCTGCACGGATGTGGGAGTGATGTGATGATTTACAGACAAACTTTGCTTAATAAAATAATAAAGTCAATAAAAAAAGCACCGTGCTGGATCTCGCCCTCACCCAAGCTCTTGCTGGGAACTGGCCAGGATCTTCTGACCTCACCCCCACCAGAGCGAAGCTCCCGAAATTCCCTCACCATAGTTCACATTTTTCCAGCTCTACCAGTTCACCCAGCAAGTGCCATGGGAAATTGCTAGGGCTGAGGCATCCAAACTTGCTTAAGAATGAGCCTAACTGATTCTTTTCTTCGAGGAGGAGGGTCTTAAGGAAAATAAAATGCTGGGGGTTCTTTGTCCCTGTATCTTGGATACAAGAAAACTCCCACGCTTGTCAGAAATCAGAACAGCACCAGCAGCTCCTGGCTTTTTCTCTTTCTCATTCTTTTTCTTTTTTTTTTTTTTTTTTTTTTTGCCCCAGTGTGTGAGTGTGTGCCTTAAAGCAGGATGACATAGTGATGGGTTTAAGAGACAGTGAGTGTTGAGATGCCAATTTCTAATGTAATACAGGGTACAGCTTCTTCCCTCCAGGATCACGGGTGAAAAATCAAAAGAAATAATCCAGGAGACTAAACACACTCCCCAGCCATTCAGCTCGCTCATAAATATGCCAGGCAAGACACTCTGTGCAAGAAAACCCCACCACTTCCATTCTGCATTTTGTTTAACTACGAGTCAAATCTTCCACCCGCATCTTCTGATTGTGCCAGTCAGAGTTCACCGGGGCGCATTCCCACCCTCTCCCCCTTCCATTTGAGGCTGATGGTTATCATTTCAAAACTAGCAGGTTCCCAGTTTTCCTCTCCCACCTTCAGCCCAGTGCCGTCCATGAGAAGAAAACACTGCCCTGTCACAACACTCAACTCCAAAACAAAGAGTTTTAACCAGACTCACCCCTTGGCACCAGCAAACTATTCAACAGAACTTCACAGGAAGTCTGCCCTTTCCTGCACGCTGCTAATGCTCCAAAATATAGCAAATTCGGGAGAAGCAAATGAAATTAAATACCTAGCTGCTGTCATTTCCTTTTTAAGGCTGGAGGAGCCCTGGAGCCCATTAGCTATTGACAAGAAGGGGACCCTCCAGATCCAGGCTGGATGAGCAGACACTCAGGGAACAACCAGACCTTTGTTTATCATCTGTGCACATGCCATGAGGAGCAGGAACCCGTGCCCACCAGGGACCGACCCATGCCCACCAGGGTCCACACCCTCCGCACATTGGGAAGTTTATTCCTACATAAATATATGTCTACTAATAAGCACATTTTATCCAAGTACTTATTCCTGGGGGAGTTTGAAATAATTCCTTCCAAGCCCGCACAAACCCCAGCAGGCTGAGATGCAGGCGTGCAGGGGGGGACACGGGTGGACCTTTTCTTGCAGCTGGACATGAAAGAGGCTGAAGGTACCGGTGGGTTTTAGCACGTATGAAGTTTGGTTTGGTTTGCAACATCGCCACCGAACAGCCAGGACTCCTCTCACAGAGCGATTTCTTTTTTTTTTTTTTCAGTTGCATTTCATAAGCACAAACTTATTAATTGAAAACTACTTTTTATTTTCTTCTTCTTCTTTTTTTTTTTTTTTAATGAGTTTTAGGCATCAGTAAATCACCCCGGCGCGGCAAAGCGTCCCCAGAGCGCACCTCGACATCCCTCCTCCGAGCCCAAGTTGCGGAGGGAGCGGAGCCCTGCCTGGGGCAGCACCCAGACGCTGCAAGGGGGGGCTTTTGTTCCCGGCTCCGTCCCGGGGAACCGAACCCCCCCGTTCTCCGCCGCGTCCCCCCGAACCCCGAGCTCCTCCACTTACCAGCTGCAAAGTGCAGAGGAAGATGAGGGTGCAGCGGCCGGTGCAGCATCCCATGGTCCCCGAGCGGCGGGGGCAGGGCAGGGGCAGCCCGGTGGCCGCGGCCCCGCCGCCGCCCTGGGGCTCTGGGCTGCCCGCTCCGGCAGCGAGGCGGCCACGGACGTCGCTCGGTCGCTCGGTCGGTCGGTCGGTCGCTGTCGGCTGCCGGAGTCCCTCCGGGAGTCGGGGTGGAGGCGAGTGGGGCCACAGCTTAAAAGGGCAACGCTCCGGCGGCGCTGCCGTCCCGCAGGCTGGGCGGGCTGGCGGGGCGGGGGCTGCTGCTGCTGCCGCCGGGATGCGCCCCCCGGGCCCCCGCAGGCGCGCTGGGATGCTCCGGTCCCGGCCTCCGGCCCTCCCCTGGGAGGCGGGAGCAAGTCCTGTCCCCACGGACAGGGCAGCTCCCTCGTTTTCCCCGTGGTGGGACGCGGTGCTGGTCCGTGCTTGGGGCGGAGAACTGTGCTGGCCAGTCAAGGTGTGTGAACGGGACACGAGGTCTATAGAGCTCCTCTCTCCTCTTTCCACATGTGCCCATCACCTTCCTCCGCGTGCAGGTGCTGGTATGTTCAGGCTGAATATTAGGAAGTCTGGAATTAGCCTAAAATATAACAGTTCTTCCGATAAAATTTGTCAGCGGGAGTGCACTTGGAAGGCAAACTCAGAAAGGGGGATAAGACAGGGAATTCTCGAAAATGCACATCTGTGGATATTTTGAAGTATATACTGAGGCTGGGGAATGAATCCCAGCTGAGGAGTAGCAGAGGGATGTAGGAGAGCATCTTTCTGCTTCCAAGAAGAGTTTCTACCTGAGCCCCACTTGCTTTACTGTGCATCTGCAGAACAGCAAGTCAGTCTAATTGTGAACAATAGAGCAAATCCACAATCACACGACCACCTCCTTTACACACCTGAGTCCTTCCCATTGTCTCCCCTCCTTAAAGAGAGGCAGGATCCAGAAGACGTGGATCATGCCAGCCCTCTCTGCCACACGCGTTCCTGGTTGGCCCGAGGAGCAGGTCACACACCACACATTGTGATTGGGACAGACTTGTTGCTAAGCTCAACACAACAGGATAAGAAGCTTTGGGAGAGCCTCATCTCATAACGAGGTTGTGTCTTTGCAACCTCCGGTGGCTCCAGTGTCTGCATGACTGTTCTGGCACCTCTGGCTGTTCCTTCTTCCTCTGAAGCACGTCAGGGTTTTGCTTCTGCCTCCAAAGCAGTGTGTGACTTCTCACCATCAGTGACCAGCTTCACTTTCCTTTTAAATATGCACTGCCCACTGGTTATTGCAGTGGGGTGAGAAGGAGATGGCAGCTGAAATCATAAAAGCTTTATCATTTTACTCAAGGAGAGCATTGCCTGACTATATCCTAAGGAAGGAGGATTAATCCTAGAGTGCTAGGAACGTTTAAAATCTTATATTACCAGCATTATTGTTATTCACATCAGCCACAGGGAGAAACAGAACAAACAAACAAACATACTCTGAATACCTGAGATTAGGAGGCAGACTCTGAATTGATCACAAATCCTACTGGTTTTAAATGGTAAAATATATTGATTATGTGACCTGTGCACTGTGCATAACCAAGGCATCAATTAATGCAGTCAGATACAATAAAACACATTTTATTGTAGGTGAAAGGAAAACACCCGAAGAAGAAACCAATTTATTTCACACAGAAAACTGTGGACCAAAGAAGCTTTGGCAGTTTTGTATTCCTGGGAATGTGGGTTTTGGATGGAAAATGCAATGGAACAAAGATCAGATTGTTTTTTAATGAATGCAGATAAAACATTCCTTACAAACTGCACAGGGAGGTCTCACTCAGCACTGTAGGGTCAGACAACCTGACATCAGAATTAAAACAGGAGCTCAGGTTGGCCAAAAGTAACGCTGGTTTTGTTATGTGCTCTGGAAACTACTGGGAACAGCATGGGAAAGGCTGGGGTACAACCATGCAAGTTACTACCTGGCCTTTGTGCCAGTTCTTAGGGTTTTCTGCATCTCTTGTTCTGCCTCCTGCTTCTAAAAACCTCCCGTAGGCATTGTGATTTTCCAGCTCAGTTGTACTGCAAAGGAGACACAGTGTGAAACAGCAAAAGGTATTGCTGCTGAAATGCTAAGTTTGACTCAAACAGGATTTTTTCCACCTGCACTTTTATCTTAAATAAGCTATGCAAGAAGCAACTACGTGTTGGCTGGGACTCCACATGCATCTGAAGGAAAACACGCTGACTGTCCTTGGATTTTTAAGAGGAGTGAAACCACAGAGGAATATTTCAGCCTGTATTTCAAAGAGAGACTTGAAACTGCCAGAGCCTGATCTTAAAATCTTCATTCGTATGATTTCTTATCTGTGTTGGTGTAGCAGGTGGTCTGGATACAAAGGGGATCCACCTTGAAGCATCCAAGCAGCTTCACTGTTTTCAGTGGGGCTACTCACAGCTTAAAATTTGGACACTTGCTTCTACGGTGGTCTCTCACCTCTTTTGATTATGGAACCAGTGGAGGTGCATTGAGATTGAATCCCCGGACAACAGATTTGGTTTTTTGATGGCTCTTTACAGGATGACTAAAAAGTCTCCTGCAGACCACCAGAAAATCCTTTATTTCCATCAGATCAAAAATTAACTTAGCTGATTTTGGACCTAAGTGAATAAAACACGTAGAACATGGATCATAATTAGTTTAATTAGCAAGTGGATTAACAAGGCACCATGGGATGAGGCAGCCATCCCTGATGGGCAGTATATCAGCAGTGGTCCCCGCTGTGCCACTATGCAGTGGCACTTGGCATGGCCACAGCAGCTGCCAGCATCTCCTAAAAGTTGTGTGAAGTCCTGACCATCTGAATTCCTGCATGAATGGTGCAGGACCACACATTTACCCTGGAAGTTTAATTTATAAAACCCACTACAGCTTATCAATCTTGAAAAAAAGCAGCAATATCTTGCCACAGCTTGTTCTCTCACATCTGCAGCCTCCTTGCTTTGACAGATCAAGATGAGCATATAGAGGTTAAAAGTATTAGCTGGGGACGTGTCTCTTCACAGCCCAAGCCCTGTAATTGTCACAGCTGCTGAAAGCTGTAGATGCTCTCACATCCCACAGTAGCATGGGGTGCATTATTCCACTCAGTTCATTTACATCCACCTCCTCTCCATTTTAATACCATCACCTGGGTCACGGTGCCTTTACAGATGTCTGATCAAACACAGCAGTGTCAGAGTGCTCCAGCCTTTCCATGCCACATCCAAAAGGCAAAGTGTGTCTGTGCCAGCGCTCTAGGAGCTCATCAGCCAGCCCTCTCCCCTCCTCCAGGGCAGACAGCAGCCTTCCCAAGGTGGCCTGTCACATCCTATTTCTCTGTCACAGTCAGAAGTAAAACCCACCACCACCTGCCTGAGTGATGCTGGCTGTGCCCCGAGCACAGCAGGATTTCCTGGGGACGCATTCAAAACAATCAGCTGAGAAGTTTTCACATGAGAGGTGGGTGAGCTCTGAAGCTTCCTGCCACAGGACACTGTGGATGATTAAAATGTGTATGGGTGCAAGTGGATTAGGACAAATCATCTTCCTGGGTGGGAGGAGGAAAGGGCACTAGGCTCTGCCCTGTCTCCTCAAGAGTAATTTTGGATGCAGTGAGAGGATCTACCGGCTGGTGACCTGAGGTTGCCGCCTCTCACCTTGGGCAGCCGAGCCGGCTGTAAGAACTGTGACAGTCCCACCACTGATCACACCCTCACCAGGCCATGGGCAAAGGAACCACACTCTGCTCTTCCCCTTCTCTGGCAGCCTGGTGAATTCATTGCCAAGAAAAAAACAGCCCAGTGGCAGCAGAGCAGACCATTTCAAAAATTGTTCTCATCACCACACAAGAAAGGAAAAATTCTCAATGACTTCTATGCTTTGAAATGGGTTCCCAGCAGCCCAGGGCGATCTGTAAAATTTATCAGAGCTGGTGTGTGAAATCTGTCATTTTCTCTCTGATCCCTGTGAAGCCTTGGATGTTGGGGGGGAAGCAGCTCCTAATCAGGCTTTTCGGCATTTCTACACCACCATCATCTGCATTTCACATTTGTAATTCTCTAATATTAACTTGCTGAGCTGCACAACAAATTCTCATCACTCTTTGATGAGCAAGTGGAGGATGGCAGAGGTGGAAGGCAGATTCACCAAGCTCTCTGGTACCTCTCAGAATAACAGCAAAGTGAACAATTTGTCCATATCTAGCTGACACAGCTGCCTTGTTTGTGTGATCAAGGGCTTGTAGGAAGGAAACATGACTGGCATCGTTCCTCCCCTGGATCAAACACATCAGCACCCATTAACTGCTACAGTGGAGTCAAGGTTCAAATTCACACTTTTACAGCTTTCCTAAGATGCTTTGACAATTCTGCCATAACATCCCACAAGCAGCCCTTCAAATAACTCTTTTTCTATTTCTTCCTGCCTATAAAGGAAAAACATCAAGACAGAAACACCCTGGAAGCTGCCAGCATTTCTTTTAGTCCAAGGGGGATGCCTTGTGCCAAAGACCACCTCACCCAAAGCAGCAGCACTGAAGATCCTTCCTAATCCACTGAAATTCCCTATCTGTCTTATTTACAATATGAAGACTGAGAACATGTAACAACTACTGAACTACTGTGGGAAAGGCTGCTCAAACTAGTGTCATAGTGGTTCTGGGATGGCGTGTCCAGCAATAGACCTAAGGGAACAGCAGGGAGCTGTTTCAGGAGAGGTTTAGGTTGGATACTGGCAAAAGGTTCTTCACCCAGAGGGTGGTTGGGCACTGGAACAGGCTCCCCAGAGCAGTGGTCACAGCCCCAAGCCTGACAGAGCTCAAGAAGCTGAAGTCAAGTCAAAGAGTTCAATGCTCTCAGGACCATAGTGGGATTTTGGGGTCGTCCTGTGCAGCGCCAGGAGTTGGACTTTGGTGATTCTTATGGATTCCTTCCAGTTCAGGATATTCTGTGATTCTCTGTCAGCATTCCTGATAAAGTGGCACAGGTGCTGTCCCAGGCACAGGCTGGAGCAGAGAGGAGGGAGTGCCCGAAGGGTTAAGCCCTGCAGGAGGAGCAGGCTGTGGCAGCTGACACCCCAGCATCTCCAGCCCCTGCAATCCGAGTAGCTGGCATGATTGCAGCCACATTTCCAGCCGCAGTTTCACTAGGCACTGTGACCAAGAAGTAATTCAGTGCAGCTGCCCAGGTCCCTGGGTATTGATACCAAGTGATTATTCGAGATT